GTGAATCAGCAGCATCCACAACTGAACGGAACAAAAAGTGTTGAACTTGAAAATTGTTTATGCGCGAGTGCACTTGCTAAATGAAGGCGGATTGTACAAAATGGATAAAAAAAATAAAATAATAAAAAAAAAACGTTACGCAAGGGAGAGACGAGGCAGCGCAGATCGCGCGTCTCATAAGTGAGTGGGAATTTACCGAACGTGGCACTTGCGGGAGTTAACACTGTATGCAATACCCGCAGCCTCACACCAAATTTCAGGCCGTGTAGATAGGCAAGCATATATACAAATCATTTAGTAAGCAGAAATCCGAAATTTACCTTAACATTTAGATTAGATGTTAGATGAAGATGCGACTGAATTGATGCTTGAAGAATGCACTTCCAGCAGCCATGATAAACAGTTGGCGGTTAAAGTTTTCTATGCACAATTTGATTTGACGAAAGTCACGAGACCTATTACTCTCTATCCAATCACGTTGATGGATAAAAATAAATTTAAAATAAGCATGTAACGACCACAAACGGAGGAAAATAGCGGAGTAAAAGTACTGATACATCACTTAAAATATACTCAAGTAAAAGTAAAAGTACACCATTTTTAAACTACTAAAAAAAGTACAATTACTGATAAAAACTACTTAATTACTGTAACGTGAGTATTTGTAATTCATTACTTCACACCCCTGCTGATACTGTAGTAGTAACACACACAGGGGAATTTAAATGTAATGCTGTGAGTACAGAGTACAGAGATGTGAATATGCCACAGTGCATCATGGGAATCTGAGTTTTTTTATGTGGTTTGACATGACCGACGTCTTGAGCTTGGTGGTGGGGCTTGATCTTCCATGCTGTCTCTAGCTCCCCTCATCCTTCTCTTCTCTCTCAAACAGATGTGAATGAGTGTACAAGGAGACCTTGTCTAAATGCTTACGCTTGTAAAAATCTAATTGGTGGATATCACTGCAACTGCTACCCGGGCTGGGCGGGACCGAACTGTAATATCAGTCAGTATACAAACTCTATGAAGTCTACAAAGTATATATCCCTTATACGCTTCCCCTCTTTTTCTGCAAAGCAGCAAACTTTTGCTCTTCTTCCTCTTCTCTAACACTGATTAAAGCTGCTTTGTTTTTCATGAAGCAGAAACAGCTTTAAAGCAATAGTGCACCTAAAAATTTCCAATGATGATTCAAACCCATAGAAAATGTTCTCATCCACCATACTATAAAAAAGGCTGAAATGTAAGTCATTATTCATTACAACCAGTTTTGTTAACTGGATCAATTAATTCTTAGAAAAGAACGACTCAAATAAATGATTAGTTCTTGTGAATGTTCCAAGAAAAGCGTTCTGGTCTGTTACATTTTGCTCTGTTTATCACACCAAGTCATCATGTAGCTTCAGAAGACCACTTTTATTATTGTACTTTTTTGTACTTTTTGAAGCTTGAAAGCTTCTTTTTACGCTTAGAAAGAGTGACCAACAGTCTTCACAATTAATGTATACAACACAAACGTGGTCATTTTTGAGAAAGCAGTGAGAGTAAAGATGTATTTTCCATCTTCAATTATTCTGAATTGCTTTGTCTCTTACAACAGGTTTTCTCCTAATTGTGCATTCTGTTAATCTGCCTGCTCTTGCATGTCTAAAAGCCGTTTTGATCTCTTGTTTTCTTCTTTTTCTTTGTGTTTTTACACATTTTGTACCAGAATGTTATGCTGATTGTGTTGATGATTATTTTCCAGATTTCAACAGCTGTTACGGTCAGTGTCAGAATGGAGGAACCTGTCAGGTAGGCATATGCCTGTTTTATTTGGCATGTCTGTTTAGAAATTCTGGGTTGAATCAGTTGCACTGCATCCTCCACAACCAACACTCAAAACAGTGCACATTTATGTTTCTTTACACTGTTCTGATTCACGTAATTCAATTAGGTAAACAAGACAGTGTGTGCAAATACTAAATGATGCAATTAGAGGCCAGATTCATTACTGCATTTATTGTAGACATTAGTGAATGTCTCCCTTTCTGGCTTTTCTAACATTTCTGTGATTGCTATTGCCTTTGATGTTGCTACTGTAAGAAAAGTTTTTTTTTATAATAGCAGAACTCAGTGAAAATAAACAACTTAAACTCAAAAGTTACACTTTTTATGGAGATTAAGGATAGCAAAATTTGCATGTTTCTTCTGTTCTCAGAGAATCAGTAGATGTTGTCAAAGGTGTGAGCACACAAATGGTAACGATAAAAAGAAATTAAGTAGGCGTTGTTCCTTAGATAATTAAGCATGTTTGGGGGATGCAGTTATTCTTAAAGGGATTGTTATCTGTATGACTTATTTTCTTCTGAGAAATGTCTCAGGTGTTTCTTTTGTTGTCTATAAAACAGAGGCAAAAATGGTTTGATTATCAGTATTCTTCAAAATACCATTTTTTGTGTTCCTCAGAGAAAAGTAAGTCATTTCTTAGTTCAGTTTTGGGTGAACTATCCCTTTAAGAAAATAACATGTAATGGAATTTAAATTGGAGTAAGTTATCATTTCTTGGTTATTAGCTCCCTGACTTTCTTGGGCTTCTGCCCTGCACACCTGCGAATCATCTCCACCTCTGTGTGTTTTTGTTAGGATGGTCGTCATGGTTACGTGTGCCAGTGCCAGCCGGGCTTCATGGGAAGACACTGCGAAGTGCAGCAAAGCAGGTGTGCCAGCTCCCCTTGCCAAAATGGTGGACGCTGCCGTTCGCTGGCCACTGGTTATGAGTGTGAGTGTCTGTATGGATACACCGGAACCAACTGTGAGGTGAGGTCAATAATTACATACAATGCACACAAAGACCTTTCTCTTTCTCAGTCGCTCATTTCCTCTCTCTGTCTCTCACTCTCTCTGTAGCTGCAGGTGGATCTATGCAGTCCAAACCCGTGTCAGAATAAAGGCCAGTGTCACTCTATGCAGGGAGATTTTTACTGCGCCTGCGCAGATGAATATGAGGGGAAGACATGTAGTCAGCTGCGAGACCATTGCAAAATCAGCACCTGCCAAGGTAGACAAATGACCTCACTGAAGTCCTCATAAAATGTATGATGTTTCAATTAGTAGAGCACAGCGCTGTTTGATTCTCAAGGAAAGGACTAGATAAATTTGCTGATATTACACATAAACTTAAGTTTGATGCCAATATTTGGTTAATTTTGTTTTGGATGGTGTTCTTTTTCCTCATTAGTGATTGACAGTTGTACTATTGCCGTGACAACTAATGGCACAGCAAAAGCAGTTTGGCACATCTTATCAAATGTGTGTGGTCCTCACGGGCGCTGCATCAGTCAGTCAGGAGGAAACTTCACCTGTGCCTGCCAACCAGGATTCACTGGGACATACTGTCATGAGAGTGAGTAATATAACGCACATCCAAACACAAACCATTATTAAAGCTTTATAAGCAGTATGTACAGTATACACACACATCAATTAATGGGGGTTTCTTTCTAATTTCTCACTCAGATATAAATGACTGTGCATCATCTCCTTGTCAGAATGGAGGAACATGCATTGATGACATTGACTCCTTTCGCTGTGTCTGTCCTGATGGCTTTGATGGGCAACTCTGTGAGCTGGGTAAAAATAACACCTCTACATGCTTAACTTAGCTAGTAGTGGAGCGCTAAACACATTTAGTCCCTAGAGAGAGATTTATTTCCACAAAAATAATTATATTTTATCATATTTTCAAAGAGAAAACAAATATATTATATACAAAGAACACAGTATTACTGTTTTGATCAAATAAATGCAGTCTTGCTGAAATTTACCAACCTTGAGCTTCTTTCCTCAATACAGCTTGCTTGTTTTTCTAGCAAGATCTGGCAATGCTGATCTGAGTCTGCTTTAGTACAGGGTCTAGCATATAGTTTATGTGTTTTACCGTAATCTTCACAATTAGAATTGAAGTACTCCAGTTTAATTTACAGGAGCGAACCACGATTGATGTATAATCTTTTCTAATCGTGATTATAATCTTCTCTTCAGAGGTGAATGAGTGTAGCGGTGAGCCTTGTCTAAATGGAGGTATGTGCATCGATCTGCTGAATGATTTCTACTGTCGCTGCACTGACAACTGGAAAGGAAAGACGTGTAACTCGCGTAAGTGAATGTATGTTTTAGTTTTCATTTTAGGCATCTAAATGTATGTACTTGTACTCAAAGTAGATTTGTTGTAACAGGAGACAATCAGTGTGATTCCAGTACATGCTCTAATGGAGGAACATGCTATGATCATGGCGACTCATTCCGATGTGCGTGTCCCTCTGGTTGGGGTGGCAGTACCTGTAACACAGGTGAGATAGAAACCAGAACACCTCCATGCTGACCTCATTTAGTCTATATTTTTCTGACTATCTCTGTCTCTCTCGCTAGCCATGAACAGCTCCTGTGAATCTGGTCCGTGTCTAAATGGCGGGACTTGTATTGGAGGGGGCAGCATCTTCACCTGCATCTGTAAGGATGGATGGGATGGGCCTACCTGTGCTCAAGGTAAGGCCACGCCCACTTATGAATTTCTTCCAACTCTCCCTCTTTTCCCAAAATATCTGCCAACTAAACCTTGTGGATGTGTAAATGTGAATACTCCCACGTGTTTAGCTGTGATTGGGCTTCAGGTGTGCTGGCAGGCCGTGATTTGCCCTGACAGGTCTAGTTCTGATATATCATCTGGTAGTTCTGCCTTCATGAGATGTTTTCATTCTGTTTTCAGATGTTGATGACTGCAACCCTCATCCATGGTAAGTGATGCAACAGATAACGTAAGTGAAGAAAAGTACAGAAAAGAGGACAAAACCATCACTCCTGTAAACATGTCACTCACAAAACTTTGGCTGAACTTTTGAATCTGAATATAGAATGTAAATGTGTCTAAACCCATACATCTATTGTAGGCAAATAAAGCTACTAGTTAATGCATCTGTATCTTGGTAAGCTGGTCAGATCAAGTTCGTACTACTCAGATGCTGTTTCTCTGTCCCTCTCTTTCTGTAGTTATAATGGGGGACAGTGTGTGGATGGGGTCAACTGGTTTCGCTGTGAGTGTGCACCTGGATTTGCAGGACCTGACTGTCGCATCAGTGAGTAAATAAATATGCAAATATCTCTGAATATGATTCAGCGAAACAGCAAGGACTATGAATATTCATGACATGACATTCCTTACAGGTTTTTGATTATTAAAACATTTAAAAAAATACTTAACATAAATACTTATGTTATTTAAATGTATATAAAAATATTAATATTAAATATTAATTTACAAGTGGAATGTTTGGAAAACCTGTTTGAACACAGACATTTCATTTAGTGCAACTAGTGGAGCAAAAATTACACATTTAGCCTTTAAAGCATGAAGAGGAAATTCACCCTATCTATTTTATAAATGCATTTAAATTAAAATTCAATTTGTGAACAATTCATTCATGCATATGTTTTATTGAAAAAAAAATTTAGCTCATAATTTTTAATCAAATATTAATCTTCCTGTGAAATGACAGACTTCTCTCCGGTGACATATGCTTTCTTACAATCAGCTGCAAGCTTGCATTCATATCTGCCTCAATCCAATCAAAAACCAATGAACTGAACCAAGTCCTCGTTGTGCTTTTTTTTTTTTTCTTTTTCAATGAGCCATTTCACTCGGATGTATGTCACAATACAGAAGAATAGATCCGATGCTACTTTCGATACATTCAGACTAACACTCTACTTCTGTCACTCACTCGATCTCAGACATAGATGAGTGTCAGTCCTCTCCCTGTTCGTATGGAGCCACATGTGCGGATGAGATTAATGGATATCGCTGTCTTTGCCCCATGGGACGAGCTGGACCACGCTGCCAGGAGTGTGAGTTCCCACTGACAGACCACCCTACTTGTTTGCATTATGAGAAATGAAGTGTTGAAAATCTTTGCTGTCTATTATGTCGTGTGAGCCCACCTTAACTTCGGCCAAACAAAACTGGACTAGACTAAATTGCCTGTTTCAGTGGCTTTCAACAGGGGCCTGTGGTGGTACTGCATGGGCTCTGACAACTTTTGTGTGGGAAAAGAAATTAAAATATGCATTAAACAAAAAAACAGCTAAATGCATTCAGCTAAATGTTTCATTGTCCCTTACAAATTAAAATGCATTGAGTAAAATGTTAGGATTATTTATTTATTGAAATGATGGGATGGCATATTATTTGATGCATATTATTGTAGGATAGGCTTACACTGCAACATTCAGTTATGTACAATATATAATGAAGGTACCTGCTCCATCTCGTTGCATTTATTTGATCAAAAATACAGTGAAAATACATTAGTAATACTGTGAAATAATTTTACAATTTTAAATAACTCTTTCTATTTTAATATATTTTAAAATGTAATTTATTTCTATGATGGCAAAGCTGAAACCAGTCTTCAGTGTCACGATTCTTCAGAAATCATTCTAACGTGCTGATTTGGTGCTTTTTTTAAATCAATTTTGTACAAACCCAAATAATTTTTTTTAGGATGTTTTGATGGATAGAAAGTTCAAAAGAACAGCATTTATTTTAAACATTATAAATTTCTTTACTGCCATTTTTGATCAAGTTAATGAATCCCTGCTGAATAGAAGTATTCATTTAAAAAAAAAAATGTTTGTGCATGATCTGATCTCTTTTTCTTTCACGGTGTACCTCTTCATCTCTCTTTATCTGTAGTTATTGGCGTTGGAAAGGCATGCGATCGCTCTGGGTTGCAGGTTCATCATGGTGATCGTTGGGAGGATGGGTGCAACAGCTGTCAGTGCATGAACGGAAACATCAGATGCACTAAAGTGAGTCCAACAATATACCTCAGACTGTGCTACTGTACTACTACCAATTGCAGTCACATGCAGCGTAAAATAAGTTAAAAAGGTGAAAATGCATTAAGGAAATAATTTTGTTCAATCTCACAAACATTAAAAAATATATATATATTTATTTATTTATTTTAAAGTGACGTGTGTCCAAGTACGGTGTCCCATACTCGGAATTTGTGCTCTGCATTTAACCCATTCAAGTGCACACACACATACCCAGAGCAGTGGGCGGCCATTTTTGCTGTGGTGCCCGGGAAGCAATTGGGGGTTCGGTGCCTTGCTCAAGCGCACCTCAGTCGTGGTATTGAAGGTGGAAGAGAGAGCTGTACATTCACTCCCCCCACCTACAATCCCTGCCGGTACTGAGACTTGTACTGAGACTCGAACCCGCTACTTATGTTATCATTTATTGTTTTATTTTCATTATTATTTTTATTTATTTTTTAGCTCCATGTAGATATAGATTCATTATTAAGATTTTTTTATTGTGACAACAGGTGCATTGTGGTCGTCAGCCCTGCTTGTTGCAGTCAGACTCTGGTGAGCTACAGCGTCCTGTGTGTTCACTTGGACTGGAGTGTGTAGAGCATCATTTCCTGTCTTGCCTTCATCCACCATGCAATCATCTGGGTGTATGCTCCACTCGTGAACATCTACAGCCCTTCAGCACTCCGTGCCTACCCAACAATGGCTACCTAGATGACAACTGTGCTCGAGTCACGCTTGTATTTGACTCTGACAGTGTCCCGCAGGTAAGAGTTTTTCATTTAGTAAATGCTGAAAGTACAGAAAGACAGATAGATTAAATATATACAGCTCTTTATTTCAGATACACTTGATTTTTCCAATCAAAATGTTGTGGGTTTGTTTAACAGGGCACTACTGCTGAAGGTGTCTGCACACAGCTAACGTATCTGCCAATCACACGAACCCTGGCCAAAGACCACTCCCTCTACATTCTTTGTGACCAATCACCTTCCAGCCAAAATGCAGTGGAGGTTGCTATGGTGAGCTAACTTTCTTTAATCATCAGTCGTTAATCCTATAAGATTACCTCATCTGCTCAGTACTCATGTTCAGTCTCAGAGCCGCTAAGAAAAAAAGGAACAAATCTTGACATATAACATAAAAACACTGTTAAGAAGACAGGACATAAAAGAAGGTTAATGCTGAAGATTTAACTTTTTCTTGTCACCTGAGGTTGTCAGATCATTATTTTTTTATTAGAAGCTGTTTTCAAATGAGTTTTCAAAAAAGTTGGACCTTGAAGAAAATCCCAAATTTCATGGTGATAAATACAACTGTGGTGACATTTATGTCTGCGCATCTCGTAAAAGGAATTACTCTAAAATAATTTGAAGGCAGTGTAAAACAGTGTGCATCAAAATACAGAATTTTTTCATCCAATAACATGCTCTTCCTGAAACCATCTGTTTTCCTTCACTTTGAAGTGTTTATTTCTTTCTTTCCATCTCGTCTCTCCTTTAAAACATTTCCATGTCCTTCTTCCAGTTTGCACTTTTTCAAAAAAACGCCCCTTAAATCACAGTCAAACAGCTTCCAAAGAGCGCTTGTAAAAATTAGATCCTTTTGTGAATTCAAGACTGACTTTCTTTAATTTCTCTTATCTAAATGTTTCTTTCACATCAAAAATTCAGCTTTTCTCCTTTAACATACCTCACCTGTCCTGCTCTACACACTCTCATCTTTCTCTCTCTTTATCTCCTTCACTCACTTTGAGACCATTGCTGTAGCAATGCAGACTCTTGGGGAAAGCTCTGACCCTCTACTACTTTAAGCCCTTAATGGCCAGAATCTTAGTTCTTCTTTTTCTGTGATGTTGTAATGCTGTTAAGATTTATGTTGTAACATTAAAAGTTTTCCAGAAAAGTAGCGGTAACCTTTTATGGTGTGAGCTCTCAAAAGACTGTGCTTTGTTCTGAAGTTATAAGCTCAGTATAGGGACGTCCCCTGTGGACTCCAGCGTGGTTATACCCTGTCTATTACCACAGACAACTACATGTGGCTGGCCATGAAATTTAAGGGAAAGGTGAATAACTTGCCCAGTCAGGTCTAACTTCTTTCATTTCTGATCCAGCCATTCTATTTTCCTTCCCCACTCTAAATTCCTTTCCTCCTATTTCATGCTGTCTTTCTATCTTTGTCATTCCAATATGTCTCCATCATTCCTCCTTCCCTTTTCTCTGAATGTCTTTTTTTAGTTTTGATTTTAGTATGCTTTATTATGAAATCAAAGGGAATAAAGAAGTAATATTATTACTTCACAAAATTGTATTTCCAGATTCAAATGAGATTTTCCCCTTATTAGTTATCCTAATAGGACAGGGACTGTCTCATTGCTTGCTACATAATCAAATGTTTGTTTTATTTGTTTTATTTTGTTGTTAAATTTTTCCTGGATGTCGTCATTTTTATTCCTGTGTCTGCCTGTTTCAGTAGTGAGGTTGTGTGTGCTGAGTCTCTAACAATTTCGCTCTTAGTTTTTTTTTTTTTTTACTGTTTACAGATATTCCACCATTGTGACTTTTTAGGGCCAAATAGCATTCCATTGACTCTGTTGTTGTTGTTGTTATTGTTGTAAGTGAGATAATTATGTAAATGTAAGTAAAACATCAGGACTACAGCTAAGAAAGGACTTGAGTCTTTGTAAATATTCATTTGCTCTTTTTCTTTTTGATTTCCGCAGTCATATGAGCAAAACACCGTTGTTGAGGGACGAGCTCAGATACAGGATGTTGTCCACTCCATCATTGATGTTCTGTCCAAACCTCACAACAGCACGTTACTGTTGGCTGTGAGAGAGGTCAGAGTTGACACTCAGGACCCGCGTCCTCAAGTCGGTGAGTCAGATGTGTCTCTTTTAGACATCATAACATAAATCGATTAACATAATTAATCCTTTTCTGAAATAATTATGATTTAATTTATTATTTAAACTATAGTTTATTTATAAAATTATTTAAATCTATATATTATAATAACAATAATAATCAAAAAGTTTGGGGTTGGTAAGATGTTTTCTATTTTAATTTATTTAAAAAAATGTAATTTATTCCTGTCATGGCAAAGCTGAATATTCAGCAGCGTTTCCTCCAGGCTTCAGTGTCACATGATCCTTCAGAAATCATTCTAATATGCTGATTTAATGCTCAAGAAACAATTTTTATTATCATGTTGAAAACAGTTGTGCTGCTTAATTTATTTTTATTTTTTTGAGGAAACTGCAATACATCACTTTTGATCCGTTTATTTTTGATAAAATATTAATTTCTTAAAAAAATCTCACTGACCCAAACATTTTGAATGGTAGTGAATATGATTTTTTTTTGTGTGTCTCTCTACAGGTTACCTCATCCCATTGCTGTGTGTGCTGTTTGTGGTATTATGGATCTCATGTGTCATCATCTGCGTGTGGTGGTTCAGAAGACGCAGGAAAGCTAGACAAAGAGAGGACACGCAGATGGAGGAGAGCATCAACAACCAGCGCGGGACACTACTGAGCACTCGCATGCCTCACAAAGACAACACAGACCCGCTGCAGGAGAACAAGAACCTGTTTTACCCTCTGGATCGGGTTGGAGACGGAGCTGAGCGAGAGGAAGAGGAGGAAGAGGGAGATGAAGAGAGCGACAGAGGGCTGGTTCTGCATAAGTGCTCATCTCTTGAGTACACTAAAGGGGACGCAGTGTACACTATTCACACTACAGCCCAAAATCAGCCAAACAGGACACACTACAGCAGCAAAGAAAACTGCTGCAAGAACAATGTGAACGAGAGTTTAAGCGAGCACATGAAAGATCATTACGTATGAAAGAACCAGACAAACAAGAAAAAATATAAGTATTTTTTTGTTGTCTGATCTGAAAGCTTCTGGGCTTTTCATTCTTTTTTCATCATTGTGTAGTCAAATGAAACAGGGATTTGTGTCACAAAAATGCAGCAAATGCGACATTCAAAGAATGGTTTTCAAAATCCTTTTTTTTTTTTTGTTTACACTTGCACTCACTTTCCTTAAAAAGAAGGACATTTTTACACAAAGCTGAACTTTAAGATTATGTTTGTGAACTATGGCGAGACCTTTGACCCTTGAGGCTGAGGAGTAATCAGCGATAGGCAGCTTTAAAGTGTTTTTGATTATGTCCAGACCTGCCCAAAGTCAAGTGTTAGAAGCCGTTAAATCTTCCAGAGGTATATATACACAAATGCCTCACTGTACCGTCACAATAGCGCTTACCTTTTTTTATTTTTTATTTCTCTTATGTCCAGACCTGCCCAAAGTCAAGTGTTAGAAGCCGTTAAATCTTCCAGAGGTATATATACACAAGTGCCTCACTGTACCGTCACAATAGCGCTTACCTTTTTTTATTTTTTATTTCTAATGATGCACATACGTTGGTTCTTGTTTTTGTTAACACATGCTATAGACACACTTAAATGTATAGTTTACCCAAAGGAAGATTCTGTTATCATTTACTCACCCTCATGTCATTCCAAACCTGTATGACTTTTTTCTTCTGTGTAACATAAAAGTGTAGGAAGTCACACAAAATCTGGAGCTTTCACGCTTCAAAAGGGATGCAAAAGCACCATAAAAGTATCATAAGAGTATCATAAAATTGCTATGTTATATTCCAAGTCATCTGGAGCCATATGATAGCTTTGTGTGATGAACAGACCAAAGCGTACATTATTATTCACTAATATCTTACCTTCTGTTGGGCTGTTAACCATTGTCATTAGGTTTGAAAACCAGACCATTCAGAGTTGAACTGGATCAACTGATTAATTGAAAAGCTCCAACTCAAAAGAATCATTTGTTCATGAATCAGACAATCTCTAGCATTCATATTATGTGAATAACGACTGAAGTTTGTCCTTCACACAAATCTGTTGTATGACATTAGAAGACTTTTTAAAGAAACATACATTTTTAAGACCTATTTAAGGTGCTTTTTTGTAATTACAGAGCTCGACAGCCTCGGTCCTCATTCCTTTTTGTTACACAGAAAAGAGAATAAATGGCATTTGGGTGAGTAAATGAATACACAAGTTTCATTTTTGGGTGAACTAAGATACTGTTAAGTATAAAAGGCTTACTTTTTTATATTGAAATTCACCTTCTTTGGGAATTGGTACTCAGTCCAGACAGTAAGATTATTCTGACTGATAATCTCTCACTCAGCTCTTGATGGTTAGAAATGATTGCTTTTGTCTTTTTTCATGTGACAGCCATATAAACAGAACAGTCATGATGTAAAGAATCAAGGGCCACTTCAGTCAACACACTATTGTGTTGTCCCAAAACACTTAGGTTTTTGTAGGGGTACACAGTAGGGGACGATGATTTTAGTTCTTTAATCACTGAGAGATAATTCATTAAATTGAAAAATATTCATATGTACATATGTAAATAGTGAAAAAGACATAGCTGTGTATATTTGAGTTTAGTAAATTATATGACACCTTTTTATCGTCTTTCTTAAAATTATTACTTTTTCTTATTCTCTCCTTCAGTCGCTCTCCTTTTCAACAGTGTCATTCCTTTTATTTATGTTGGTCAGAAAATGTTTTATATATAAATATGTAAAATGGCCACAAGTTGGTAGTCTATCTGTGGGGACTTTATAAGAAATACTTTAAATGATAGATGATCTATTTTCATGTTAGAATAGATTATCTGTGTTGTTTTTATGACTTTCCTAATGAATGTCGACTAAGGATTGGACACATTGACCATGCTGAAAGAATGTTTTGCCACTGATCAAATGCTGACTTCTTCGGAAGGTCTACAGTACTTCATAGGAGAAAGACTCAAAGACTTCAAAGAAATATGCTGCATGTTCGAGTGGCACTTTTTTCTCCTTAGAACAGTCCAACACTTGCATTTTCAAGCCAATGTCAGTCCTGATATAATTGTTTATATTAGTGTCCCAGACTGTCTGGTTTTAAGTTGGATGTTGGAAGACTTTGGAAAAAAAATGTTTTCTTAATGCTTTCAGAACATCATTGCTTGTTATTATGCTACAACTCAAAATGAACCACAAATGGACCAGAGTATTGACCCACGTCAACGACAGAAAACACTTGAGTTCAAAGCGTATCTTCTGTCTGAGTATTGTGTTGAAAATAAGATTTTATATTTATAAAATGGTACTATATTACTATAATACCATTTTTCAAAAGAACACTATGAGTAAAGATTTATGTTATCTGAAATCCTCCCTTGTTTGGGGTGGCTGGGGTATTTTTCCCTCCTTTATTCATGAGCTGTTCTGTCATATTTGATTGGAGTCTAATCAAATGCAATTAAGGTTTTTTGGAAGGTGAGAACAATTTTATCAGTGCATGTTGCTGTGGCTGAATGAAGGGAACAATTTATGTCTTTAGTGCACAGAAAAATATATTACAGCTGACTATAGAAATGATTGGATAATGCAAAATGTGATAGTAATTCAGATTTACATTCTGAATCATGTCACTCCTCAAAGAAAGTTTCATTATTATAATATAAAGGAATTGAAACACTAACCTAACATGAATAAAAAAGTCCATCACATAACTGGCTGTGATTAGTTTTACATGCACTGATGCTCATACTGAATCTGGCATTTCATTTGTTAAATCTGTCTGATTTTCCCAACAAGTATTTATTAAAGGCTTGTACCTATGAGGTTTACAATTTTATTTCATATGTAGCATTTGTGATGTCTTCATTTATTTTTTCTATTTAAAAGAAGACCCAGAAACACAAGCTCGCACCTCATTTGTCACCTGCTGACATCATGCATGACAGTGAGATCCACAGAGCTAGAGAAGAATCCTCATGGAGCTGACGAGGCTGATAACATAGGTTTTGTTTTGACTCAGTCAGAGTAACGATGTGTATCATCTCTCTTAAAGATTAACCTGTTCTAACTCATCCTGGGTTTCACGGCTTTAATTTCCCAAGGAAAAAAAAGACACACCCACATAAAAAATTCCTCCATTTCTTTTCAGAACTATTCACCTTGGATTACCGGATCTTTCTGGAGGATGAGGTTGTAAAGCATTGGCAAACAACCAGTATAGATTAAAAACACAACTGTTTTCAACATTGATAATAATAAGAAAATTCTTGAGAAGTTTCTTGAATGATTTCTGAAGGATCTTGTGACACTGAGGGATCTTATCTATTCACGAACAGCTTGTAACACTCCAAAGAGAAAGGAAAACTTCATATGACCCCTTTAAAATATATTAAGATAACAGGTAAAAGAGTTCAATTGCAAAAATATTTCAGAATATTGCCGTTTTTACTGTATATTTATTAAATAATTTGGCAGTCCTGGTGAGCATAAGATACTTGCTTTCAAAAGCATGAAAAAAATAAAATCCCCTAACTTTTGAATGCTAGTGTAGTTCACCCAAAAATTATTTTGTCACGGAAATAAGATGTTCATGCTTGTTTCACATAGAATGAAAGTGACAGGGGTTGTTAGGCTCTATAAATGAAATAACATTTGAGAGCTGATTTATATTAAAGTATATCAGGGCCGTCCCAAGCGAGGGGCCCGGTGTGGCTGCACAAGTTGCACCACTCTTATGACAGCCCTGCAGTATATTTTCCTTTAACTATTAATGGGCAAAATCATTAGAAATCTTAGTGCAAGATAGAGTTAAAAACTACTCAAACTAGACCCTTAAATACTTAAAGGGATCTTTTTCACGAAGTCTTCATTTGGTTTTTGGCGTGTACTAGAATAGGTTTTCATGCTTGATTGTTTCAAAAACATTTTTGTTTTTTTTACATGTTTTATATTATTGCAGCACCTCTCTTCCCAGTCTGTCTTGAACACCCTATTTACTTCCTGTTTCGATGAAACCCCTCCTTCCAAAATACAAAATGTACCCTGATTGGTTAGCTGGCTCAGTGCATAGTTACTGGCGAACCACTTAGATCAGGGGTGTCAAAATCAATTCCTGGAGGGCCGGAGCCCTGCAGAGTTTTGTTCCAACCCTGCTCCAACACACATACCACATAGTTTTCAAATAAGCCTGAAGGACTTGATTAGTTGTATCAGGTGTGTTTAATTAGGGTTGAATCTAAACTCTGCAGAGCTCCGGCCCTCCAGGAACTGAGTTTGACACCCCTGGCTTAGAGCGTGTTCCAGAAATGTCATTCCCTTTATCATAACCACGAGTTTCATCTGCTCAGCTGTAAATATTAATGATGGCGTCAATTTTGCCATATCATTTGGAGTCCGATTCAGACCCTGAGAATGTTTATGAACAAGAGGATCGTGCAGAAACTTTGCAAGCACAAATAAAGGTGAACAGCATCTATTCACCATGTTGACAACACGCTACAGGCCTTGCCCTTGGGCAGGAATTATTTTAATGAGTGACAGTGTGTCATCACAATATCTGGAAGAAGCGTGTTTTTGTAGTTTTTCAAAAGTGTTTTCTGTTAAAGAGAATATATGCTTTTAGAATGGACTCTTAGCTTTGTAACCTTGCAGATCTTTTTATGCTCAAACAGCAACATTACATACTAATTAAAGTTGAAAAAGCATAACAGGACCCCTTTAAAAATCTTCATTCTTATATTTTATTTCCAATTTACTAAATCTTCTCCATCAAGGGCTCTTCAATTCCAGTCCTGGAAGGCCAGTGTCCTGCTGAGTTTAGCTCTAACCCTAACTAAACACACACGAAATCAAGGTGTTCAAAACTGACTGCAAATTACAGACAGTTGGGTTAAATTAGGTTTGGTACTGCAGGACACTGGCCCTCAAGGGCTGGAGCTGAAGAGCCTCAGTCTGTGATGTTGCACCATCAGGTCTTGTTAGGTGGCCTGGTGCCCTTGGTCTGAACTCTGGGCTGAAATGACTTTATCCTGTAACACGTCTGTGGTAGTGGAAAGGTGTCTATTTTAGGAGCGTGTTTTTCTTGCCGTACTGTAATTTATACTTCATGGGGAGAGCAGGTGCTGGTAAGCTTACTGTATGAAAGGACAGTAAGTGTACTTGACTGCTAATGTCAACAGTAGTAAGTTTATGTGTAGGTACTTTGGCGTGAGTGTATGAGCGAGTGTACTTTGATTTGTTGGATGTTAGCTTCATGCTAAGCTGCAGAATTATTGCTGAGTCAGCAGTGGCTTCAGGTTCACAATCTGAGCTGCATGCATAGACATAAAGAAAAGAATTTAGCGAACACATTTGTTCTGTCAGCAGAGGAATCTGCCAACCGGCATCTGGCAGCTCAGCCTTCAGTACCTGAAACTTGAGGTACACCTCACATTCCTGTTTTATAAGCTGAGAGAGAATGACAAAGAGAGAAAAAAAAATTAAATCAGAAACTATGCTGTTAATTATATTTTCAAATAGTTCAAATTTCTTTGTATTTGTGACTTAAAAGATTATCTTCACATTTAAAAAAGGTTTAGTGCTATTTAGTGCATATTGGTAAGTTGTTTTTATTTAATTTCATTTATTTATTTGTTTGTTTGTTGGCATTCATCCCTTATTTTATGCCTGATCCTAATTAACTTCTAGTCTGCACTTAATATAAAATGTAAATACTAGACATGCTCAAACACGGCATACAAAAAGTTGACAATGAGCAAACAATTTTCAGATAAAAAGATCAACTCTGAACATTACAAAAAAAAAAGTAGAAATGGCAACATAATAAATGAAATGAGAATTTGTTAGAAGAAAAAAAAACTGTCAGCACAGACAGTACTTATTTGACCTGACATAACATTTGTAGTCAATGCAAAGCTTTGTAAGTAGACTTTTTATACTTTTATAAGCCTGTGTGTTGAGGCTGTTGAAGTGTTGGGTATTTTATTTTAAATGCAGACCAGTGTATGAAACACTGATGGATCCATGCTTGGATTTCCAGTGGGAGACTAAAGTTGAGTCAAAGCCTGTATTTCACTTGTCTCAATACCTTAATTGTTTGTGGAAACAGCTGCTAAAGACCCTCTGTGGGTTTAAGACTCCATGCTGGCACTGAACACATCCCAGAATTCCTCTTACTCGCAAATGAACCTTATCCAGCAAGTGCTGGCAAAAAACTACAGCAGCTGCCAATTGAAACTCCTCTCATCCTAACACTTACATTACTAACAATGGTTTAAAACCAAATAATGAAATACTGTATAACTGTTAAATAGCACCCCTAAAAAACACTATTTGCATCAACCAAAAATAGTTGGGCATTTCAGGTGTGAGTTTCTGAGAAGCTGAATGGACAGTGATTGTATTATTACCCCGATTAATCATTAAATTCCTGCTCTCCATTCTTGGGCATGTTTTGATCTGCCCTCTTACCTTGTGCCATATATGAAGAATCGTGCGTGTCTAGATCATTCTCCAGGACTATTAGAGAAGACGCCACCAACGTTTCTAGCATATCTCAGCACTTTATCATGTCACAGAGTTCAGAGTATAAGAATCGATCTGAACTGGCCCAAAGCAACACATATGACAGTATGACCTAAGACAGATACTCAAATCTCGAAATATAAACATATCTTAAATTCTGTCCAAACTGAATAACAATGTCTGTGAATGAAATCTTTCAAATCACAGAGGTCTTGTTAGGCACGAGCTTAAACTTTGCAAAAGCATCCAAGCATGAGTGTGTTCAGTTGATCTGTGCTTGCAAAAATCATGTAGCAGCACGGATCACATTTAACATGCACACACACACATTCACGCCACACCCTGAATTACATTTCTATTTGGAAAAAAAACTGCTGGAGTGATTTGCATTTGATGTTGGGACAAGAAAAGACCTGTGTTATTCCAGGCCCTGACACAGAGGGTGTTATGTTCACCTCTCTACTGACACGATTAAGATCTCATATCCAGTGCTATCGCAGATAATAAATACGAGCTAAGCAATTCTTCCTTTCTTTTTCTCCATTTTAGGGTGGATCCATCCTTACAGTAATGCAGAAAAGAAAAGCAAGATAAACAGTTTGCTATTCGACACTCATACACGCACGCACATTTTTACTTACTTGGCTATTCCTGTCTCTCTCTTTCTAGAAGTTTAGTAATACAGGCATTCATGTGGTATCATGTCTCAGTCTTCCTCCTGGACGTCCCACCGCTGCACAGTTTAGATGTCTCACTAAAGGTGTCGTCACATTTCACTCTGAGAAGGTGAAATTTCTTCTGAACCGGCAATAAATTTTTGCAACAGGATATGATGTCACATTCTACTTCTAATAAATAGTAAATTATAAAAAATAAACTTTTTAAAATTTTTAAAATACTGTCTACTCTACTTTTTTGCAACACTACCAAATATGCAGCTTAGAAATTTGTATTCTTTGTAGACTGAACCTCTGATCTTTACATAGATCCTCTATTGGTCAAAAAGCTAAAACAAAAGATTATACTTTTGTCTCCATTCTGCTACATCTGTGTGTATAAATGGAAGTGAACACTATATAAAATCTTAATTTTACACACCCGGTTCAGATCATGCTCAATAATTACTGATCGATTTATAGCGACAAATAGCACTCACTCAACCCCATTTAAGTGAATTGAACAGTGAAATGAAACATGACAAAATGATCTTAAAACAAATTCATCTTTTTTTTTTCATTCTGTGCTTTACCATCTCTGGCCCGCTTCTCTTCACTTGTCTCCACTTAATTACTATA